CGGCTGAGAGGCGTAGAGGCAGTGGCATGGCGCCTCTCGTAATGCGCGCGGCGAACTGTCGGGGGCCGGCGAGCGCCAGCGGCGGCGCCGGCGCTGCTGCCGCACAGCAGGGCAGCTGCTCCTGTCCGCCCACCTGCTGCTCGAGTTCCTCCCACCGCTTGGCCGCCTCGGCGGCGGCCTCCGGCGCCGCCGCCGGCCCACCCGCTGCGGCCGTGCCCGCCGCGGCCTCGCCCGGCGAAGCCGCCACCTCTCCCGCCTCCAGCTGCCCTTCCTCTTCCATCGCCTCCGGCCCTGCACCTGGCCCGCCGCCGGCGCTCTGAGCCCCAGGCGGTACCGCGGTACCGACCTGCTTGCTGCCGCCCTCTGCAATCTGCCCCTCCTCGTCGTCGTCGGGCGCCGGAGGGGCGCCCGGGGGCTCAATGGAGTGGATGAGGGGGCGGTAGAAGGAGAAGATGAGCTCGGGGTCTATGCAGTACACGGTGGCCAGGTCCTGCGGTCCGGGCGGTACAGGCAGTACAGCCACAGCGCCGCCTCGTGACGGCAGAGCGGCACGAATTCCTTTGGGCTTCCTTTCCCAGACCAACAGGAGCAAGCAGAGGCAGCAAGCAGCAAGCAGAGGCAGCCCATCCCAACCCTTCACATACACACACACATACACACACCCCACCCCACCACCCCACTCCCACCTCCATTGAGGGAAGCAGCGTGGCGTAGTCGACTGGGCCCAGGGCGTGCTGCAGGAACTCGGCGTACTGCGGCGGTACAGCAGGCAGCACAGGAGCGGGCGAGATTCGGTCGGCCGGTGGGGTGGTTGGAGTGAAGGGAGAGCAGCTGGCATGCCGCAGCCTGACGCACCCATGCGCCACACACACCTGCGTGCACACTTCCTGGCACTTGTCGTACAGCTCCGCAATCAGCTTCAGGTGGGTGGACTGTGGGGAGGGGCGGGGTGGAGAGGCGGCGCGGGGCAGGCAGGGACAGCAGACCGTGTGAGAGGGCAAGGGGAGGCAGCGATGGCACCGCTCCTGAATGCGAGCCCCGGCCGCGGCCTCCAGCCCCGTATC